TCTCTTCCCTTGTCGACTCTCCTCCTCGATCTCTTTCCATTCCTTTTCAATCCTGTCTCATCTTTTCCGGCCCGCAGACTCTCTCGTCGTAACTTACAGTCTAGGAGCGTACCTACCCCGCATCTCAGCCAGATCCGGTCGTCCCACCCAGCGGGTATAGGTCCGTCAACGTTGAAGGCCGGACTCTTAGTGGAACGAGGCATAACTCGTCACCACGACGCGACGTTCGATCCACCCAGCCTCGCCAGCTCTTTGAGGTAAGCACTCAGTTATCCTTCTCTCCTCTGTCCCATCAGCTCCCTGCCTTCTTCATCCTTGCGCGTCTATTCCTTCTCGTTCTTCCAAGTTCACACCACCTCCTTCCCCTGGTGGCTCTCACGCATCCGATACTCAGAGTATAGCGCTAGCAGCCGGTTTCAACGCACCATGCCGATAGAGCATCGCCCAACATCCCAAAAGAGAAAGTTGTGCTACCTCGATTTATACGTGTTATCCTTGCGCAGGGGCCATGCTAATCTTCTCTGTATCGTTCCAATTTTAACGGATGTTCCGCAGAACCACGGCCGAGTGGGCTGTGAAATACCATCGTTTGGCTGATCGACCCCAGGTAAGCCAGAAAGATTCGGTTTTACTTAGCTGATTCCATCGTCTGGATCCGAACACGGGTCTGTATTTCCATCAGTTCATGGGTGCACCCATTGAACTAGGCTCCTGGTCTTCACAGTCGGTTCTGAGATCGGTACCGGGCCTCGTCCCAAACAGAAAAAAACTAAAATAAAAAAATTAATATTAGTAAAATTTAAAAATAAAAACTTTAGAAAAAACGGATAGGACCGCTGACACTTGATCCTCGGTCCTGTCCCACGGGCCCGCGGTCGGAACTTCTCGCAAAAACCAAGAGGGACAGTCTCATGGGACCCTCAACCCCTCGGCTTTTTCCTCCAACACGCTCCACTGCTCCGCTGCTCATTGTTGGCCTCGATCCCGAGATCCACAAGGTGAAAGTCTAGTGTCGTAACCAATAGGGCTAAGCCCAAGCCTGAATTGGTTGTGCACTGCCCTGTATGCGAATAGTATGACCGACCGGTCTGGGCCTGTAGGCGGTGCCCCAGGCCGTTTGCTAACCTACAGCCCGCGTCCAAGGCCCCGTAATGCCGCATTTGGTTGTCTCGAGGGCAAGGCTCCGCTTGGCTCACCACACTCGCTTGCTCCACCATGTTATGGTTGCGGACCAAGCCTCTCATAGCCTACCATGAGCGCCTTTCTATCTCCCCTCAGTCGAAGAAACCCCGACTTCTGCTCTAGTCTGTGTCATCCTTACTTGGCTTCAGCGGCGGCTCCTACTATCGACGGTGCACGGTCCACCTAGTGCCCGCGAAATTTCACACGGTGCCGCTCTGAAACGTCGGCCTCTAGTAAGTCACACAACATTCTCCTCTAGTCACAGTCCTACTTGATCAACCCTGCGCTGCCCATAATTCCGTCCGTGCATGCGAGGTTGCGACTGCCTCAGAAATTCTAGCCTAACACTTACTTGTTCTACCGGCGTCTCATAGTCTTTCTTGATCAAGGTTCGGTCAAGCTAGCGCGTGCCCACAAAGTGCACGCTCACACACCCTCTAATCAACTTGAAAGCGTATGCCACTACCAACCCATGAGGAGTGGTTGTGGCTGCACAAAATGGGGCACGCCCCTAGATACCGTCACCGAGCGTACTTCCTATAAGTTGCAAAAAGGCGCCCAAATACCCTTGTAAGGGTATTCGGGCCGACAACGTGCACACACATTCAACCGTAGTAATATATATTTCTCTGCTTTTACAGTAGATTCATTCCATATAGCCCGCATTGTCGATGTTAGTAGCGTGAGGTAGCCGCGCTTGTTCACGCACACTCTCACACACACGCACACAAGCATATATTCCGGTAGATTTACTTGACCCCTTTTCGCTCACTCGATCGAAGGAAGTAGCATAGATTTCACCCCTGCGATTCATCACATGTACACATACTGTCCATTTGAACAAGTATGGAGGCGCGTATTTCCATGTTTAATCAGAAGATCTCTTAGTTTTAACTCATTCTTCTTGTGAAAGTAGCATGAGGTAGTCGCTTGATATACGCGTTCGCTCATACACCCACAATTCAGTAGTAATGTATACTTTCATGTTGTAGTGGTAGATACATTCAGTCTCATTCATTCGAGGTATCACACTAACGGCCGCGAGGTAGGAGGCTTACCTGTTGGTAGGTGTGTAGCTCTGTGAAGTAACTCGGACGATCAACGTACGCAGAGCCTCCTCTCCAAGCTTCGATGCCTCTAAGACATACGGAATGTGTTCGTCATGAGTGTCGAGACAATGGCAATGCCTCGACAAAGGCCGCAATTGTCCCTCCCCGAAGTCTACGGGATAAGGGTGCCGAAGTTGGGGATAGGCAATACGTAAGTTGCTTTCACCCTCTCTCCCTTCTTTTCCCTTATGCCTCGATTTTTCTCTCTCTTCCCTTCTCGATTCCTCGTCGTTGTCTTAATCGCCGTCGCCTGCTAAGTGCCTCCTCACCAAGTCACATGATCTGCTATATTGAGCAGCGTACAACTATCGGTCGTCCCTTGCAACTCGACATTCTCATGAAACATGCACAGGGAGTCCTTCGTCACTCAAGTACAATGTCCAAAAACCCACGCTCAGAACACCGCCATCGCTGACTGCCACAACAGTATGTCGGTCCTCCCTCCTTCTCCTTCTTCGCTTCTTCTTCTTCTTTTTCTTCTTCTTTTTCCGCTTTCTTCTCTCTCATATTCCCGCGTCACCTCTTTCCTCGGCGTGCGCTACCCCCGTGCCAATCCTCCTTTTGCACATTCTAGCTCGTCCTTCCTGCACACTCCATCATGACTTCGCGTGTTTTCCGCACGAGATCCCAGTGCTGGGCGGAGTCAGCTCTACCGGGTCTCTTCGGGGTTCTCAGCCTCTCACTGAATCTGCCCTGAACTTGGGCCAGATTCACGAGAGTAAATCTAAGAGTATCTGATTTCAGGGCCCAAAATCGAATCTAACTAATAATAAAAGTATAAAGAAAAAAAGAATCCCGAAAAACCTCCTACTAACTGCCCCGTTGTGCCAACCGTTACAACGACCCTGACTGTATCTAACCCTGTTACTAAGGTCACGGGTTCAAGCCCCGATCGACCAAGCACCGGCTGAAAAGTTGAAGAGCTCCCTAATAAAAGGAGTTAGCTCAAGGGTTGACAGATTCGTCCCCTGCACCTTTCGCCTGATAATCTCGTGCTTAACCTACCGAGCTAGCTCTCACTTCAAATAGGAGCGGAACAACCACTTATATATGGAGTACTGGCTCACCCCCTTCTAGCGGCCTGACGCGTTTTCTTAAGTTTGTTTGTTATGCATGCTCACCGGCTTGTGTACTTGTCTGGGTTTTTGCCGGTTTGAGCGCGTGGTGACCAGCAAGGGCATTTGATTCATGGGAGCCCGATGGCTCGTACTTACCCGTAATCATGACATTTGAGGGTTGCGGCGAGGAAAAACACTCAAGTGGCAGGTAGGTCGGTACCACACCAAGTAATAGGTAGATATGCCTGGGTATTCAAGGTCGGACAAGCTGGCATTTTGCGTGTCGTAGATGTACCTTAACATATCAATAACTTAATCAACCCCTCGATTTTCCTGGTCGAAGGGTATTAGTATTGATCCAAACTACCACAGCGTGCGTCATAATGATGCGTGCTCATACGAATTCTAAGTTCAGACCGATTCCTCCATGGTGGTCGGCGCAACCGACATGTCGATTGCAAAATCATGGCCAAATACCCTTGTAAGGGTATTTCGTCCGACAGCGCGATCACTACAGCGCATGACAGTAAAAGTTCGAATGTATAGTGACAGTGCAGGCTAATGACCATATAAGCGTGCAGGCTTATGCGGCCATACGAGCGTGGTGACTGTATGGGTGAGTGTCGCCGTGTCAGTCTATAAGTGTCTGAATGACTTTGGACACTACGGTTTTGGTTAAGCTGTGTGAACCTACAAGTTTTCACGGGACCTACGAGTCTCAGTTACCAATCAAAATCCCTGGGTTTGAGTGATCATGATGTTTTCTTAAGAAAGTGAGGTTGAGTAATGAGTTGCAGGGGGAGGAAACGACAGTATAGGAAAATACTTTATTTAATTGTTAAATTCTTGCTGGATGAGGACAAGTGTTGGTAGTAACAAATGCTTCAGGCGTGGGTTAGAAGTTGGCTAATCAGACAGGGACGGTGAAACAATGTTTATTCGCCTTGTGGCATTGTGGACGAAGCCCGAGATTGTGATGCAAACTTCATGTATATTCTAGTGACCCCTCCGGTGTTGGAGGACTGCACAACTGAAGATGGCTTGTGATAAATGTTATGGATCCAACTCACAATTGGGAGTAGGCCGCAAATTCGGTTCATTGATTGGAGCAGAATTTCACGATTTTATCCAGACCTTCGCATTTGCTAAAAACCTTGTTGCTCAGAGTGAGAATGCGAATGTACCCTTGATCCTCCTCTGTCTACCCTACAGGTGAGTTAAAATTTCTAGAAAGAAAAATTACATAAACAATCGTCATGGAGTTCAACTGAAGTGGAAACCCTTTTTTATGAGATCGACAACCTTTCAGGATCTAGGTTAAGTAGGACATGTGAATCGCGCTGTGAAGTTTTATCTTACTTGTAAGAAGAAGACTCATCTCTGGCAAAATGCAGTTCCCCCCCCCTTTTCCGCTCTGTAAGAGGGATCTCTTTCATGACTGACATACTGGTATGGGACAAATTCTGAATTTTCAGATTTGTAACGACAAAAGGGAATTAGACTCTAAGTCCGTGTTAATTTTGTGAACAAAGGGGAGTGGGTTTTAGCAGGTGCCTATTGTAAACTAGCTTCTTTAAGACTGAAGGTTATAGCTGCAGTTGCTTGGGGCGTTAGTCGTGGGCATAGGCGACTTGCGGAACACTCGGTCGCTCTTGTATGGTCCAGACGACGCCAGTGACTATGCTACTTACCCTCAACGCCATTTCGAAACTAGAACTCTGAGGGACTGGAACAGAGGAATGAAAGAAGAGGAGGTACAGGTGGTGAATTGTGGGATCTGAAAAGACAAGAATGAAGGATGGTGAGAAGATGCGCGCAGAGACATGGAATCACATAGACAGACACAGAGGGAGCAAGCACTCAAGAAGGTTAGAGAAGAAAAATACATCAAGTATGTAATTTACTTTTATGACCATGACGGCAAAGTGCACAACACTGGTTCGTTTCTGGAGACGGTGGAGCAGTCCAAGGCTCAGCTCGAGTAAACCCAAAGGTGTCTAGACTCTTCTCTTAAGATCCCCATCTGAATCAGCAAGTGTCACTCCACAATCTGCAACTCTTTCAGCGTTTCCGATACTGAGTGATCAGAATTCAGTGACTTATTGACTCAGCAACATGTTGTCACTTGTGCTACTCAAGAGTTTCGGTCCGAAGTAATCGACATCCAATTGTTCTCATTTGACACAAAGATCAGTATGAACCAGACAACATTGATATCAAAGGACGTAAGGATCAATAGGAATCGAGACTGTCCTCGGCAGAAGACGCAAAGATTATTTTCAGCATACATGAGCTTAATTCAGCCTTCTCCAGTCAGTAAGTCAGTGTTGGCCAGTCTCAACAGTATTGCCTCCAGAGTTGTTTTCCAGTACAAATATATCAGTGTTGTTGGTTTCAGGCAAGGGGACCTGTCAGTCTTTGTTGTCCTCACCCGATTCGTGGGCGACACTATCCATGACATGAGACCTACATGAAGAAAGGCAAAGAGACTCATGAGCATTTTGATTCAGTCTGAGTTTCGGCAGCCAAGTACCTTGAAGAGAGAGAGAGAGAACTCAACGAGAGTGGTACCAAGCTGATCCGTAGCTTTGGACTCAAGCTCTATACTGATTATCTCAAGCCTCCAATACCTTTCACTCTCGTAGATGGTTCTTGCTAGGGAGACTTGGTAGATCTAGCCAAGAGGTATATCTCGCCTGCAATGATTGATTACGAAGCAGTGACAGAACCCTCAGATTTCCAACATCTTAGACGAGGGATCTTTTCTCAACCATATCTTTCTACTCTATAGGAGGAGTTTTGTGTTATGGTTGACTTCCGCATTATGGGAATTGGATGGAAGTTTTCAGAGCTTGCAGGTTTCAGGCGGTTCTACATTCAGAGGCCACAACCTCAGGAAGTACATAGGCGTGGCTCAAGACACAGCAAACGCACAACCAAATGAGAGATCAGTGATGAGACTTTAGAGGGATGAGTGAGGACGCCTAACGGGTGTCAGCCATGCCTATTTATTTGTACTTTCTGAGACTATTATGAGTCCTCACTCTTCCCTCGTTTATCCTTGTCATTGCTCGAGTCAGTCAGTCTTGCATCGCCTACATTGCCTTTGCTTGATGATCATGTTCTCTGAAGACCTTGTCGCAATTCTCAAAATTAGTAGAGTGGCAAAATTAATGCATGCATGACACATCTGAATCCTATGATTATTATTTGCATGATCTTTACTGTTTCGAATCAAAATAAAATAGTCATAAGACCGGGGATCGACGAAGACCGCAATTGAAGGGTCTCGCTCGAAGCCGGACGCACACAACAGGAAGGGATTTGCTTAATTTATTTTATTTTATTATTGCAAACGCCAACAACAAAAATCTTGCATGACAGCCTATTGGTTTTCCGGTCGCCTGAAGTGGTTCGACTGGGAAAAAGTGCGACAGCGTGTCGGTTGGTTGTAGGGCATTCATTAGAAAACCCCGCTCGATAATAACCGACCTCAAAAGATGTACCAAGCCAAGTACTTGGTCAACATACAAATCGTCTACTACTAGTTTCACCACTGCTTCGTGCAACCTTTTTTTTTTTTCCACACCAAAGTCGAGGTGCCGACCTTAGGCGCCAGGTAAGGTGGGGAATTTTTTTAATTGGGGGGGTTGCGTCCAAATCCTCGAAAAATAATATGTTGTAGCGGTCTGGGGGCCATGCACATCTGGTGTCTATTCATGGATGGGTGGTTAGGTACTCGACCAGGTGCTACACTAAGGGCAGATGGGAGGAGAAATCATGAACCCGGGTAAATATAGGCAAGTCAGGATTAGGTTCCGACCCAGGATACAGGTTCGAAACCCTTCAATAGTGGGGTCCAAGTATCAACTTACCCTGTGTGTTTTCCGTAGGAATATCCTTAGTTTGGATTCCGACCACCAATGTTGGTTCTTGCATGCATATATTTTTCTAATAGCTTGTGTGTATTTGTGTGTGTGTGTATGTGTGTGTGTGTATGAGTGTGTGTGTGTGTGTGTGTGTGTGTGTGTCTCACCCACTTCTCCTACAGGGCTGCCTAGGCTGGGATAGGTATCCGTAAGGGTACCTGCTCCAAACAAGTCCCTACAGATATCGATACTTATGATTTGCTACTGTTGAATCACACACATATACTCGATTCAGACAAACAAGGTTAGTATTTCGAACAAGATTGAAGGGACCTCTCAACCTGCTTAACGTCACATCTGAAAGGGTGAAAGTTCTGTGGATTTCAGAGTACGTGTTTTACCCTCCCCCAGCATTTGCTACTGTTGAATCCATTGCCGCTCATTCTGTTGACAATTTTTGTGATGTTCATTGCAGCCTCCAGGGGGTTGGAGGAGACAATAAGGATCGGAGCTACTAATCCTAGAATAATTGCCAGTGACTGCTTAACGGGTTTATTTGATTTAAATTCAATGGACCGATTGACTTTTAGACCGATTTCCTCAATTTTATCATATTTTCTTGTGGTGAACTGTTCATCCCTTCCACTTACCGTGAGACTCAGATTGAGAAATGTGTTTGCCATATACTCGATTCTGTGTTCCTTGATTTCAATAAGTTCGGAGGGATACAACCAGACTAGGTCCCCGACTTCCCGTGGTCTGTCCGGTTGCATAAATTCTCTTATACAAGTGTTGTTCAATGCATTCAAATCATCCATGTATCTACATGTGTGACAGAACAGGGATGTTAGGTGTATATTCCCAGACCTGATCAATCTCATCATACATTCAAATTCATAGCGGAAGAAATATAGGTTGCACAAAATTGGGGAGCAGGGCAAACCCATTGGGATTATTTTCCTTTGTCTTCAAATTCTACCTCCAAACTGGATATAATTTATTTCTGCCAGCCATTCATTCATTTCCACAAGTTGTTTTTGGTCGATCATGATTTTCCCCTCTGTTATTTGTTCGTTTCTCACCAGACACACGGAGTTCTTTTTCCACTATTTATACGTACTCTAATGAACTTTTATCTTTCATCCTCCAATTTGTTTTTGAAACCTTTTCGGATCACAAACAAGAGTGTGGTTATTAATTCATGTTCTGAATCGTTTGTGGGAATGGTTTGAAGCAAAGGATAATGTCTGCTAAAAAAATGGAAAAGACTTTATTGGGTAGGTTCAGGCCGTACTCATTCACTGATTCGATGGGCTACCAGAGATTCACGTCGACCCCATGCAGGCATTTCAGTGTGCGGGTCATTTTGGTGCATGACTTCTGCACCTCCTGGCTAACCAATTTTAATGCTTCAACACAGATTGAAGCAACGGGAGAGCACATACATTGTTTAGCATTAGTGATTCATCGCAGTGCTTGCTTGTGTCTTTTGTAGTTGGTCATTAAGTAGGAGATTTTCTTCACGCCCAATGGATAATCATTAGTGTTTTCGTTCATCATTTCCTTAATCATTTCATCCGCATGCGTTTCAAGCATCACAAGTCAGGTCTCATTAGTCTTTCAAATTCTAGTTGCCTTACAATATCTTCACGCATGATCACTGGCATATTTCCTGCTTTGTCCATACACGCAATGAAGAACCGCCTGGTAATAAAATTTACCTCATGCAAAAAGTAGTGCTCCTTAAGGTCTACTTGTTCAGAGGTACTATATGCAACTCTTTGTGCTGAAAACCTGCTCAAATACTATTTCCTTAGCTCATACCTTATTCTGTTGACTTCATCGGGTTCAATTTCCTGCTCTGTATTAACCAACTTTATGGTTCTATCAAAGGCTGCTAAAATTATCTTGGTTGCTGCATCTACATCGGGTTTGGCTAAAGGAATATCGTTCAAACCAAAGGAAAGCAAATTCCCAAGGAGAGGGAGAAGAGAAATGGAGTAGTCGGTTGTGATGGCATGTGGTCCAGTCAACCCCCCAATGCTCTCTGTATCAAGAAGCTCTATTGTAGCTTGTTCTATGAATTTGTTGAACCTATCCTTTCTGACATATACAACTGCCATTTTTCTTCAGCCACTGGCTTAAACTGAAGTCCCGAAATACTTAAGCTGGTCTATAGAAGGTACCAGAAATAGCCTCATTGTACGCCCATCCGAAAGTTGTGGTCTCCAAAAACTTCACCGTTGTTGGGCCAAGGGTGGCTTCCATCAAGGTGATGAGCAGCACCTCCACAGACACGGCTTCCATGAGCCGACTAACATATCTCTGATGCACAAACCTCCTGGGGATTCGATTGTGTTTTTGGTCCATGTCATCCTCCTAGATAGACCGACAGTCACAGGTCATGGCACATCCTACAAACATAAATTTACAAGTGTCGGGTTGGGGTTGGGGCCAGTTATTCATAGTCGCAAAAAGTACTACAACATTACTAAGCGGTCCTACTAAAAGATGATCCATGAAAAAATTTCGAAAAAACAACAACAACAACGATAACAAAAAAGCAGTCATACTGAGAACCAATAAAAAAACAATCATCAAGAAATTTCAAAAAACTCCTCATTGCTAATTGTTATTATTATTGTTGTAGGAAAGACTGGAAGGGAAAAAGGGTACTTAGGGAGGTGAAGGAACAACAATCATCGGGGGAGGGGGTTTGGTCATTCATCTGCTCCGCTTTATTAGGCCCCATACTTCGGATGGTTCTCGCCTGTTTGTACCAAGCTAGTAGCCGCAGGTGCCTACTTAGTATGTGTCATCTTCGTTGGTAGTCCCTTCCCCCTTCGGTTGGTATGCAATATTCCTTCAGTTATGCCTATGGTAATAACGTAGTCCGCCCTAGGCCCAAATCTCCCTCCGAACCAGTAAAAACAATGACCTCCAATGTCCTCTGCCTGATCCAAGGTATGTATGATGGAGGTAGCTATCTCAGTCATAGCAGTTCGGATGGCAGGCCAGACAG